ATAGTTTCCCCAAGTCCAGTCATAAACACAGGAGGACTGGGCCAAATCTCTGCCCCATGGTGTGCATGAAGAATCATCAACCCAGAGGACAATGTGGCATGGATAAAGGAGGTACTAAACATGGAACACACCCCAAAAAAGACTTCATTTTGCTTCCCCACACCATCAAATGTAACATCCCTACCTGGCTTTGGCACAGAATTGACGAGTGCCTCAGGAATGTTCTTATTAATGAGTTCCACACACTCCCCTGGGAAAAATCCAACCTGTAACAAGAAGAAAAGAGAGGCCAAATATTGCATGCAGCACTTATCAGATCTGAACTGTTAAACCAAAAGCCACGTAACATTTCCCTCGAAACGTGATTGCCTGACGTTCCATAAGACTATCCAGCAGAAAATGGCCATAGTTCACAGCATAAAGGTCATAATTTTTCAACATTTGCAGCCAAAGGCAAGGTCCCCTGACATCGACACAGGGAAACTGTTTATGTCCTTTAGGCATCCTGAGCAGGCAGAGCAGCTCTAAGCTGAGATTCCTGCCTTTACTGCAGTTGCACTCTCCAGTCTGAAGCTTGTGCCTACCTGGAAGCCGAGCTTGCCTCTCCACCAGGGGGTCAGCTCCTTTGGTGGCATGTCAATGACACAGATGATGTCTCCCACCTGCAAGAGATTGCAACGTCAATCCCAGCTTCAGCAGGGCTGGGAGGAAAGCACAGCTCAAATGACTGCATTCTTCTGTGCTGCCAAACATCGCAGAGCATGAGAGCACTTGCACCAGTGCAGCTCTGAAGGCATTTGCCATTGTAAAAGTGAACAACAAGGAACGCCTTGAACTGCTTACCTCAAAGGAGAGTTCATCCGCTGCCTGGGCAACGTATCTCTTAATAGCATGGGCAGCAGCAATAGCTGGAACATTCACAGGTGCCACCTCATGGTCTAGCAGGGGCTTCCCCTTGTTCTCAGCCTGAAACAGAGAGCACAGGCCACGGTGAGGAGCTGGGAACCAACAAGGAGGATTTCAAGGTGAGGAGCACATCTGCAGAGCAAGCTGCAGGAAATGCACTCGGTCCTTATCATGGGCACTTGAGAAGGAACTGCAAGTCTAATCACGGCTGTTTCTCT